AAGGTCAGTGTGAATGCATTTCTGTACAAACCCTTGAAAGATGGCACATGGGGACTGAAAATGCTCCCGGGGAGGGTTTTTTTTAGAATTTAGAGAGCAGGTGAGTGCCAGTTAAAGTGGCAAAAGGGAAGGGAAAGAAATCTGCCTGCATGAGCTCCTGAGCGAATTCTCAAGGGGGATTGGCTGGATTTTCAAATAGTTTCCTCCTTCCACAAATTCTAATGGGCCTCCAAGTTGTCACTGTGTCTAATGGAAAGTGGACTGGTTCCTTCGTGGATCATACAAGCAATAAATGAGGTCACAGAAACATAAGACTTAATAAGTTAATCAAATGGAGTGTTAGAGACTTGAAAAAGTTGTTGAAGGAATGGGATGGTGAGAGCAACTGATGTCAGATAAAGGAGAAAAGGGGGATCAACTTGCTGAAGCCTCTGACAGCTCAGAAGGGAAGGTTTTAAGAGGCAGGGATGGGATTTCCAAATTGTTCTTCTGCCTCCCACGATTCCTTGCAGGCTCTCAGCTTGTCTATTTATATTTGCAAATAGATGTCTATTGTTGTTATAGTTGTAGCTACGTGTGCTAGACCAGAGGTGTCAAATTCCTTTGTTTTGAGGGCTGGATCTGACATAAACATCACTTTGTTGGGCCGGGCCAAGCATGCCATAAAATGTTAACATGAGGTACTGAAGATATAAACTTTAAAAAGGTGATTTTAGATGACAAATGACACTAGCAGACTTGATTGGATTAGGTGTGATATGCAGAGGGATAGTAGGCATGGAGATATCAGCACTGGTAATGAGACAGGAAAACTAGGTCTTGATTCCATCCAGAAGGATGCAAAGAATAAATGGAGATAAGTCTGACATTAGAAACCACAACATTCAGTTGCTGACCTAAGAGTAGCAGTGCTCTTACAAAGGAATTTCAAAGTGAGATTGCTGAATTGCAATTAATAATGAAGCTCAAGACAATGCATTCTCCAGGACTGAACTGAGAGTTTCCCTTTCTCATTACCAGTGTGTACTATTATCATTGGGCATCTGAAATCATTCCACTCTCCAAGATATAAAGACCATTTTTTCCAAGTGTTCTAATTCCTAATTAGGGTCTTTTTGAAAGAAAATAAAATCCAGATAGGGACAGAGTAATCCAATCTTTTAAAAAACTTTTCAGAATAAGCCAAAATAATTTCTTCAATGTAAATTGTGCTTGTCAGAAGAATCCATCCATCCGCTCACCTTCCCCTCCTCCCCCTGAAAATGTGTGCTTGCATACAAAAGCTTATACCTGGAATAAAATGTTGTTGGTCTTAAAACTGCCATGGGACTCCAACTCCCCCCCTCCCCCTCCCTTCCTCTCCCAAAGAGGAGGAGCAGCCCTGAAGAAGGAAGCAGAAGCTCTCTCTGTGTGTGTGTGTGAAAGGGAGAGAGAGAGTGGCTTGTCTTTGTATCTCTCCCACACGAAGCAGGAAGCAGCCATTGAGGGAGCTATGGGGGTGGGAGGCAAGAGACAGGAAGCAAAGAGCCACTAAGGAAGTTGGGGGAAAAGCAAGCTACAGTGAAGCTGCAGCAGCAGTTCTGGAAAAAGAAGCAGGAGAAGGAAATTGTTGAGGACCTCTGGTTTTGACGTTCTAATGGCAGACGTGTCTCTCGGGAGCTCCCAAGGACGCGATCTGTGAGCCAGCAGATGAGAGGGGGTGCGATTGTACGTGCCCCCCCGGATCCTTTGTGAAGGGCTCCTAGCCATGGGGCACTGAGGATCGCCTCTCCCCCGGCACGGTGCCAGTGGATTGAGGCGTTCCGATGCCCCGATGGTCTCGCCACTGTGTTCCAGTACTGGACTTGAGACGCACACCGGGACAAGCGAGTTGAGGTTGAGAGTTTTACACGTTTGATAGCGAGAACTACATGATCTTCATTGAAAGTGAGTTTGGCTGAAAAGAGAACCAGAGAAATGGCTGAAAGTCCCCTCTAAAGTAAGCGAGGGGGCGGGGAAACCCCCCCCGGAAATAAAAATGGACTTAAAGCATGCCTTTTAAAGGGGGCTGGAACTGAAAGCAAAATGGGACTATAGTAAGAAACTTACAAGAAAATTACAGGCGATTTGCAGACTTTATAGACTTTTGGCAAACTTTGTTAAAGGTAAACAGCTTCAAAGATGTCGCTGAAGAAGACGGAGAAAGATAAGCAAACGAAACCTAAGCTTCCTTCAGGAAGTGCTAGCCCAGCGAGTGCGGTCATGCAACCGGAAACAACCATAGACTTCTCTAAGATGCTAACATAAGCATTGCGACCCCTGCTGCAGCAAATGAAGACACTCAATCAAAATTTCGCTGCACAGCAACTAGATGAGACTTTTTAAAAAACAGAGCAAACAGCTGAGAATCTTAAAGAACTGGATGCCAACACCAAAAAGCTTAAAAAGCAAATTCAGGATATGGAAAAGAAGAGAAACTCAGATGAAGCCCAGCTTTTACAGCTACAAATGGAAAAGGCAAGCTTTATACTGAGACTTCAGGGAGTTCCTGAGACTAAAGGGGAGAATCTTAAACAGATTTTGAGTGATGCTTTGGGACCGGTTGCAGATTTTAAAGCAGATTTTCTTCAAGGCATAATGGATGTGATCTATAGGTCATATTCAGAATACATAAAGAAAAATAATCTGCCCGGCAAGGTGGTGGTAAGATTCTCCAGAAGATAAGTGAGGGATCAGATATTAAAAGCTACAAATGGAACTACCCTTAAAATTGATGGCAAGGAAATAAGAGTTTTGAAAGACATTCCCTTTGAAATAAGGAAAGAAAGGAAAAAATACAGAGACTTGGCTTTGTTTCTACAAAAGAACAACATATCCTACAAATGGATCGTACCCGAAGTCATACTCTTCAAATGTAAAGATAAGAGGGAAAGAATTGACTCTGTTATGAAAGCAAGAGAGTTTCTGCAGCGACAATAGGATCCAACAGGAGAAGAGGATGAGAAGAGCAACAAGGGGAGTGATGATGAAGCACTTACTGGAGAAGATTCGGATCCCCAAGCAAGGATATCGATTGAGGGAAAGAAGAGGCAAATGAGATGCTAATTTTCTCTGAAGTTTGACTTTTGATTCTTATTATCTAACCATTCTTGTGTATGGTTCCTTACTAAGTCAGAATACCTGGACTTGAATTATTTAAGCGATTGTAATGATCACCTACAATGTAACAAATTACCCTTTTTTTATTCAAAGCTATTTTATTGTAAGCATTATATGACCCCCACCTCTTGAGGTTTTAGTGGTTTATTTTTACTTTCTCCCGTAGTTTATAGTTTCCCCTTCCCTATTTTCTTGTAGTTTTTAGAAAATAAATTTAAAAAGAGAGAAGGAAATTGCTTGTGGGCTGGATCTGAGCCCTGCAGGGGCTGGATCCAGCCTGCGGGCCATATATTTGACATCCCTGTGCTAGACCAAGGTAGAAATAGCTATACAGCTAAAGAGACAGAAGTAATGTTTAGTAACTCAGTTTTGTCTAAGAGAATGTTTAAGCGAATATGACTATCAGGCTATCTGATGTACACTGACACCAGTAAAATAATTTCAGAATTTCATTGGAACCTGTGAGCCTTACTTTCTGCTACGCCGCCCCCCGATTATTTTTATTGCCTTCAGTATGTTAGACATTTCTGAAAGTTCAGAAGACATTGATCATGGCTGATCATGTTTAGGTTAATCCTCCTTCCTACTCTTATTGGTCAATAGGAGCTTAAATTTGTTCTGAACATGTGAATGGAGTTGTAGAATGGGGGACATTTCTTTTCTTTGGTCCTGCATGTGCTTCTCAGTATGTTTCTACAAACAATCGTTGTTGGCCTGGCTCACCCAATCCTATTCTATATAGCTAGCTTGATCTTTCAGCATATGCTGTGTTCTAACATTTGCCTCATTACAGAAAAACAGTGCTCAGGTCTCCAGATGGATGGTCTTTGGCAGATGAATAATCTGGATCCTGTTAGATTGCAGACAGGGCACGTTGCTTTCTGTTGCACAGCAGTGTATCCATAAGTAGGAATGCTCTTGACTCAAGTTGCACCTGTAAAATGGAGTGCACAGGCTGACATTAAGCTGGTTCAGTGAAAAAGTAATCAAGAACCTTTGACATAAATTGATCTTTATGGCTTCCTAAGTGAAATATTCTGTTTGCAGGTTTGTTCACACATTGTTGTTCTACACATTGCTTCAGAGAAGAAAGTTCAATCCTGTCAAAAATCACATAATCAAGAACGAATTCTTGTGCTTGCCAAACAGGCCCCAAGTAAAACTGAAAAGTGCCTATCTTTTGAAATTACTGTTATCAGTGATTGTAATAATGCTGTCAAATACATAAATTTCTTGCCGGTATTCAGTATGCAGCAATGTCTGTTAAGCCCTTCATGAGCCAAACGTTTTTGGTGTATTGATCGGTTCACTTGCTTATGTTTAATATTAATGTAAAAATAAGGTGCAGAATCCAGCAGCTAACATATTTTTTGTCTCCTAGCAGTGCTTCTGGGAAGAGTCTGATGTGACATATCCTGTCCACAGTAACTTGATGGAGTGTATTGTGTCTGCTTGTGTGTCATATGCACCCACAGCAGATCCGTGCTGTATGTAGTTCAGCCCTGTGTATCATCAGCGCAAGTGACAGCTGAGATTGGTTCTTGCTCTCTTTGTGCTGGGATATATGAAACTGAAAACAAACCACTGATTTCCCAGACCTTAGGTGCTGCTTAAGGTGCTGACAAGGAGGCAGAAAAAACCCACGGTGTGAGAACTGTCTTCAGTGGCAGGTGACTCACCATGAAATGGAGCATGTAGGATAAATCTAGGATAACAAGTCTTCAATTTCTGTGGCTGCTTATATATGAGGGATAGAAAAGCTTCCTCTTTAGACTTTGGGCAGATAGATGTTTATCAAACTGCAGTTGTATCAGTAGAGCCTATTATAAGGAACTCTGATGTCTTTCATTCTTTTCTCGTAGCTCTGATTAATCTACTGAAGTTCCTGATGTCCAATGAGACTGTTTTGCTGGCAAAACACAACATCTTCACCTTGGCTCTCATGGTGAGTGTCTGTAAGCATTCTCTCAGTAGGCAATGACATGGTCACCACTGATGGTCCAAAGTGTGGAATGAAAAATAAGAAACCAAGGTAGTGGGGCAAACAGGAGTGTGCTTAATAGTCGTGTTCTCCATAATGGATCTACTTGTTTTAAATGTAGTTGAATTACTAGTAATAGCTAGTTAAAATTTCTTTTGCTTATGGTGAGCCAGGTTATAAGGACCATTTCTACCTTGTGGAATACCAATACATTTGAGCAAAGAAGTTTTCTAGAGGTACAGCTAAGAAAGGTGGGGTGCCTCTTCATAAAGAAATTATTTTATGGTGTTAGTTCATTTAGAGCAAAGCCCACAAGGTTAGGTGTTTGGTCTCATCAGAAACTGGCTAAAGACAAGAAGGAAAATCTCAGAAAAGGATAATAGTGTGAGAAAGGTGGTCATGTACACTGTAACTGTAACTATGACACACAGGTGTATGGCTTAATAGATGTAATCTCTGCTTTTAGAGTTTTGGGTGATTGACAGCTGCTGTTATTCTGAATACTGCAAAACACCACTTGTCTCAAAAGGGAAAATGGCTGTATTATCAATTAGTTCAAACTCTATTGAATGGCCCTTGACCCATTTCAGTCAGGTTTCCGTCCTGGAGGTAGGGCAGACAGCATTGATAGTTCTGGCAGATAATGTTAATCTTCAAGAACGTAAAGGAAATATGTCCCTGTTGATTTTTCTAGACTTGTTGGCACCTTTGACACTGTTGATCAGGATACCTTGCTGAAGTTTATAGGGGGTGTGATGAGGACAGCTTTCTTTCACCCCCCCCCATCATATAGGACATGAAGAGTTTCTGTTGAGATGTGGTAGCCTCCAGAAGCTGATATGGTTGTCTTGAACCATGGTCTTGAGGCATGGTCAAGTTGATGAAGGAAAATAAAGTTCAATACCAACAAGATGAGGGTTGGGGAACACGGTGCCTTAATAGGGATTAATCTGCTAATTTTGGGTGGGGGTAAACCTCTTTATGACAGATCATGCAAAGAATTTGGGATGCTCTTGGACCTGCTAGTGGACGAATAGGTTGGTGCTGTGGCTAAGAGCATCTTCTTTCAATTGCACATGACCTATAATCAGTCTCCCTACCTGGACCCATTCAATTTAGTTACACTGATTTATGTTACTGCAATTTCTAGGCTGGATTACTGTGACATACTCTACAGGAGCTGCCCTTAAAAACAATGCAGAAGCTTCAGAGTGCAAATTGACTTGCCTTTTTCTAAGGTTGCTTGCTTTGAACATATAGCACTTGTTCTGAAGCTGTTGACTGCCTATGTGGTTCTGGGTTCAATTTAAGGTACTGGTTCTTACTTTGAAACTTGTGGCTCAAATATCTGAAGAACCATATCTCCCATTATGAACCCATCTGGCAGTTATGCTCCTCTGTTTCTCACAATGCCCTCACATGGATCAGCCTGTCCGTCGCCTGCCCATTTTAGTGTGTTCACCCATTGGTGCAATTTTGTGCAACAATTAACCAGAAGATGTTCAAAGGGCATTCTTATTCCCCATTTTTAGGAGGGCTTGCAAATTGGTCTTGGCTTAAGAGGGTCTTTATCTGTGTGGCAGTTGAGTTGTTACAGAAAAAGGCATTTTATTGTAGTTTTTGCAGGCCTGTTTGTGTGTTTATTGTAGCTGCTCTTCTGGTTTTATTGGATTTGTTGCCTGTTGACATTGTGCCTTGAGTCTACAGAAAAAAATAAACATTTCAATAAATACCCCCAAAGATGAAATGCCAGCTCCAATATTTTAACTCGTTAAACTCCATTCTTTGTGTGTCTGTTATAATACTATTTTTGGTAGTAATTCCTGCAGTGTTTTCTTTTTAAAGGTGGTAAACCTGTTTAATATGTTCATCACTTATGGAGATACCTTCCTTCCAACTCCTAGCAGCTATGATGAGCTATACTATGAGATCATCAGGATGCACCAGAGTTTTGATAACCTGTATTCCATGGGTGAGTAGTGTTAGGTGACTTGGCTTGCAGTTGGCAAAACACACACACATGAATAAACTGTGTGGGTGAGAGAGAACAAGTGTGTGTGATTGCTGATCAGCATGTTTGCTCAAGATGTGGCTGTCAAGACACAAATGTGAAATAACACTGTTTAAAAGGATAATTGTTCCCTGTTCCAGGTGAAAGACATTTTAAAAACTAATTTACCTTGCGAGGAGGCTTATTGAAATAATGCAGAATTATCACCTGATTCAGTGCTGTGTACATGAAAGTATGCTTGCTGCTATTGTGAGACATATAATATTGAAATAGTAGCAAGAACACACTGTGCCCTCATTTAGAGTGAGCCAGGCTGCCATATACAGAGAACTCCCAGCTGGGAAAATATGCCTTAGTCTCAGGTCAGAGAGCAAATGCAGCCCTCAAAGCCAATCAGCAGCAGGAACCTGTGCTGTAAACAAGAGGTGGGGGAAAAAATGTGAGGGATGCATAATAAGAAACCAGTTGCACAAAACAAGTAGCACGTGGCCTTGCTAACATCCACAGAACCAGGTCAGTGCTTCAGATGCAATCAGGAAACAGAGCCCCCACAGTACATTTTGAATAGTAGGGTAAGTCAGAAAAATGCCTGGGAGTAGCAGTGGAAAGAAGCATAGTGGAATAGCGACAACTTAGCAGGGAGACAAGGAACAAAGGGGAGATGGAATTGCTGGCATTGACATAGAAGCAATATAAGAATGAGGAATGTTTTAGCAGGGGCTGCTTTGGTGGCTGCAGCTAAAGACGATGAATTGTGGAGGCTGTTAACTGCTCTGGGAGGTTACTGTAAAAGATGCAATAGTATACTGTTTTCTGCTCATGGAAGGTCTTCTTAGGGAAATCAGAGGAACTTGGTATTTATGGACAGCTGTAGCCAAACTTTCCATTGCAGGCCAAACTATTCATGCTGTTTGAGGGTCTTGGAGTGGTCCTTAATTTTTTTAAGTGCAAGTAGGAGCCATGAGAAGTCCTTGTTCCAGGTTGGGATTGTGGCATCGGGAAGGTTTGTTAACCCTTTCTACCTTTAGTATGTTTCTGACTTCATTCTTTCTCTCTCCCTGCCTCTCAGCAAAAACATTATTTCCCTTGTGAAGGAGCAAGGAAGTAAAACAGACAGACAGCTTTGGGTAGGGTTGCCAAATAATTCTTTGCCGGGAGCGGGGGGTTCCCGGCCGGCGTCAGGTGAGTGCGCGCGCGCACACCGCGTGCATGTCACCTGGAAGTGACGTAGGCACACTGGGCACACTGGGGGCGGGGCTACGGCCATACAAGGGAAAACCATAGAGTTTTCCCTTGTATGGCCGTGGCCCCGCCCCCAGTGTGCCCGGCGTGCTCACGTCACTTCCTAGTGACGTGCACGCCGGGGGCGGGGTTCCCCCGGGGCCTGATTCCGCCGCGGTGGAAATCAGGCCTCCAAAGCGGGGGTTTCCCCGCCCCCCAGCCCGATTTGGCAGCCCTAGCTCTGGAGCAGGGAGAGAGGGAATTGGTTAGAAAATGGTATGTAGGTCAAGAAAGGTTAAATGCCCCCTTTCACCATGCTAAATTTTCCCTCCCTTCTTCCGCCACCCCCACTGCTATTTGTTTTTTAAAAGCCCAAAGGATATCTATGTGCACATCTTTCAGTGTCTCATCCCCTTTGACCAAAAAGTTCATTTGCACTGGCAGGGCAACTTTGCAGTGGAACCAGTTCCTTCCCCTTCCACTAAATAAACTTTAAAACAGTTAGTGAAATAGTACATGTTCATGTTCATTTAAAGCCAGACAAAATAGAGCAAATAATTTATTTTCATGTGTTGGTTCCACTGCATGCTGAAGAGCTGAGCTAATAGACTTAGAAGTAGTGTTTGGGGTGTGAACAGCCTAACAGCAGTATAATGATATTCCAGGAAGGCTCCTTGGGATGTAGAGTGCCTTGAGCCAGACCTATTTCCAGGGTTTCAATGAAGAAAACATGCAAGTCTCAAGAGGACATGAATTATTTTCCTGAGATCCCACATTCCTAGGCTGCTCATTAGGAAGGCAGAGAAATGGTGAACATTAACAGTTAAAGTGTTAAATTTGTTCAGCTTTATATTCTGTTTGGAAGTACTTGTGCCCTTGTCTGATGAACATCCAAGAACATAGCCCTCTATCTGTTTCTGTTCTAGTCTTAAGGCTATCAACCAATGCCGGTCAATGGAAGGAGCCAGCCAGCAAGGTGACCCATGCCTTGGTCAACATACGGTAAGAAAAGGAATGTAACTGCAGCACAAAAGTAGAAGGGCTTGCTATCTGTTTGTTCTTTCTACCAGTCTTGTTTTCAGGACATTTGTTCTCTTTTATAGTATGTGGCACTGACAGGTTTTCAATCTGGTGGGAATGGCATCCTAAACCAGGGTTTTTAATTTGGATGAGATCATCACTGCTTCAGTAGCACTTGTGCTAAGAGCTTGACAGCTCATGCAGTCTTTCCAGCAGGCCATGGCATGAAGCTCTGGAACTCTTTGTTGTATTAGATTAAGTTGTGGACTTAGTTTTGGGGTCATGAGCAAGGTGTATTTCAGTGTGTCCGGATTCTGTATTAGTAGTTCTTTGCTGTTCCTAAGAGTTCTTTTTTCAGAGCTATGCACCAGTATCTCTGCACATCACCCTCACAGTATCTCTGTAGAGTAATATAGTTCTTTTGGCAAGAGAGCTGAGAATCTAATGGACTTTCCTGCACACTGAAATTCTTAAACCTCTTGGCACTTACAGGGGTGCTTGAGTGAACAGCAGCTGGTTTCTTGGCATACTGAGTCAATTCCTGTCTGATAGCCTTGAAAACTGTTCCCAAGGCTGCATTTTAAAGGGTGTCTTCCCTGTGGTTTTAGTGTGTATAGTCTGAATGGATGCAGTGAATTTCTGTCTTGAGATGCAGAATCAACATATTTGGACCTATTTGCTACAAGGATCACCATTATCACTAGTGTTCTTTAATATGTGTCATGTTGCTAAATTAGATTGTCTGGAGCTGTCAGGTTCTGTGTTATTGATATGCAGCGCTATAAGCAGGACCATGAAGCTGCTGTCTTCATCCTAAACAGCCTTGAGGTTGTGGTCTGGTGGCTAAGACAGAATGGACAGAAGTTTCAGCAGACAAGACAGAGGTGATGCTGGTAGTGAGGATGATTTTGGGGGGTGGGGAGAGGAGATGATCTGCTTGTCCTAGATGAAGTAAGATTGTCATTTGCAGATCAGGGAAAGAGCCTTGGGGTGCTGTGGGCTGGCCTTCTTGTTTGAAAATCAGGTAAACACTGTTGCTGAAACTGACTTCTAGCAGCTGTATTGTGTACATGAGCTTTTCTCCTTGCTATATTCAGCTAATCTAGCCATGCTGATCCATTGTGAAGTAAACTCACAATCTGACTATTGTAGTGCATTCTACATGGGGCTGCCTTTCAAAACTTCAGCGTGCAAAGAGGGCTGCCCAATTGCTGCCTGGGGTCCACCAGCAAGTGCAAGCAACTTCATTGGTTGCCTGTTTGTTTCCAAGTTTGTTATGACAGACCCTGTCCACTTCCCTCCCTCAGAGGCAAGGTTTCCCCTCTGTTTCTTTTCCCCTTCACTGACTGAGCAGCTCTGGTAATGTGTTTATTCTTCCCTTGAAGAAACCTTGTCTGTCCTACCCTGTTAGTAAGGTATATTTTCGCTATTTGCCCAGCTCAGGAACTTGAGAGACGGAATAGGATCACCCTTTAACTTAATCCCTTGAAAATGGCACTTGAGATGCTTTTAAAATTCAAAAATAACAAAAGGTTTTATTTTAACATCAAAGGGAAAAGTCAGGTGAAATCCGGGGTTGAAATTACTGAGCTAGAAGTATTACAAGCACAGACTTTTGTTCTTTTGTTCTTTCTTTTTTTCCATTTATTAGCTTCATTGACCAGAGGTCTTAAGCCAAGTGTACAAACAGCTACTATAAAACACATTACATATAATTACAGGATAATTTAGACCAAACATTTTTACAAAAAAACCTAATAAGCATTCTCAAAAACAATATTAATAGACAACATTTTATAAACTTCCATAAATTCTATAAAATCCCATGATATGGAAACTACCTACAGCATTTCAAAACCACTTTAAAAATAGCACTATTGATAGATATTTTGCTACCAAGCGAGTTGTTTCAGGGTCCTCATCTGCTAGCAATATGGTTATCACCCAAGGGTCCATAGGGAGGTGATGTCTATGTAAAACAGAGTAATCCAACAGGATCTGGGGCCAATCCACTAGTGGCAAAATAACATAAGAGGATCTAAGGTCTCTATTGCACCTGATCCACAATCACACAATCTATTTGAATACTGGATTTTAACAAAACGGCCTCTTAGCTCTGCAGTTGGAAAAACATTCAACCTAGCAAGCGTGAAGACATATCTAAATCTAAGGGATGTAAGGAAGCTCATATATGAGGGAAGACTTTTGTTCTTATATATCAGGCTAGTGAGAGGTTCTTAATTATTCACAGTTACTTAGATCTTTAGGTTGAGAGGCTTTTGATCAAGTGTTTTCCCAAACACTCTATAATACCGTTTATTTGTATAATCGCTGACTCTTTTTGGTGCCCAGAAGGCTGGTGCCCTCTTCCCAGTACCCACACCCCTTCTCTTTGGATCACCCATACTCTTCTTGAGGTTTTGACTGACTTTTAAGGTCTCTACAGGCAATTCCTACTTACACCAGACCAGGGATCTCTCTACCCCTCAGAGATAACTCTCCCTGTTTGACTGGGTAGGGTATCTTCTTCTATGTCTAGAAGATCTGTTGCCTTTCCTTTGGCCCACTTCCTTGCTAAACTCCCACCCCCCCCCCGACTTGTTCCCCACTTTTATCTCAGCTAATGCTGAATTCAGACTGTGTAGAAATCTGACTCTGTCAGTACTAAATCCTTTTTTTTTGACAGGGCTATTCATATAAGGTCTTGATATACATCTCTTCACAGTAAAGGCAGGAATCTGACTGACTTTTCCTCAGCATCCAGCTCTCTCAATACCTTTTTTTTTTTTTTTGCTCAGCTGATGCTAACCAATCAGATCGGCTGGAGCAGGCTGTCACTCAAGGCTCTCTGACACTTTGAAGAATAAATCTTCACAATCCTTTAGTTGTTGGTACAGCACTTCTGAGCAACTTAAAAAGTGCAGTATGTTACACTTGTGTTAAGGTCCTAGTTCTTTTGAAATCCTTCATAAGACCCCCATATCTGATGGACTTTCTCTCCCTCTAAGAACCTGTGTGCCAGTTAAGAGTCCCATCAAATGACTGCTGCTTGTCCCTGAAGAATATGGTACTCCTTTGTCTGAGCCTGTGCCTTCTTTGTTGTCCTACTGCTGTTGTGGAGCGGGCTGCCAGAAGGCTCCTTCATTGCTGACTTTTCAAAAATAAATGAAAGGCAGTTTGGTATGGTTTTTCAGTGACTACTTTTGGAGATGGCTGGACAATTGGAGCGTTTGGTGTAAGGTAGGGTCTTTTGTTGTGGTCTTTTACTGTTAGGATTTATTTTATTGCTATGGGTACCATTGGGTGTTTGTCTGGTCTGTTTTGAGCCCTTTGGAGGAAAGGTGGGAAACGATTACTTTAAACAAATTAACCCATGGAATACAATATTTAAAAGGAGCTTATGGCCTAAATAATATTTCCTCCACAGGAGGAATAAACCAATTACTGGGCTAAGATTAATCTTAAAGGTGCCACTGCACTCAGACTTTGTTCTGCAGTCTTAAAGTGAATAATGCTTTCAAATGGAACAGATGTTGTTTGGGGAAAGCCTGGCTGCTCTTTCTTCTGTGAGTTCCTTGACAATTAATTACTGTAACTGATCATCTTGGGCAGTGGGAAAACCACCACTAGGCAAAGGTTGCACTCCTGGGGATAACCCAAATAACACTACTTTTGGTATTAGGCTGTTTTGCCAAGATATGCCAGAGACCGCCGACAAGAACCCGAAGGAACAACACCAACCACCACCATAGGGGTGCCGGGTAGGTTGCCCCACCCCGCACAGAACATGTGGCCCTAGTTAGGAGATAGAAATGGTGATTAGCACCGACTTGTAAGCCGCTCAGAGACCCCTAGATAGGGGTTCGAGCGGGATATAAAGTTGAATGTAAATAAATAAATAAAATCAGTGTTTACATTCCCACATCTGTGAATTGGAATAAGAAAGCTAAATAGATTTGAATAGAAGATTTATGGCTTCTTATCCATAATCAATCTTTCTGGCAGACACTGATTATTTCTGGGGGGTGACATGATAAAGGCTTATAAAATTATAACTGGAGTGGAGAAAGGGGATAGAGAGGTTCCCCCCACTCCCGTAATACCAGAACTTGGGGACACACAAGTTGATGGGCAGTTGGTTTAGGACAGACAAAAAGAAATACTTCTTTACTCAGTTAATTGTTTGAGTTGTAGAATTCATTGCCAGTGGATGTAGTGATGGCTGCAAGCACAGATGTCTTTCAAAGGTGATTTCATGGAGGACAGGTCCCTTTAATCAGTGCCTACTAGCCATGGTGACCAAAGGGAACCTCCATATAGGGAGGCAGAAAACTTTTGAATGCCAGTGCTAGGAGGCAACATCAGGCTCATAATAACAAATAATTGTTTTCCTTTAGTTAGCTGTATAGAAGTAATGGGCAATATTTTTAAAGTTAACATTACAGCTACAAATAGTTATGTTGTATTGAAAGGGTAAAATAGAAGCAAAATTTTTCTAATAGTATTCTTTACGTGCTGTACCCAAACACCAACAAAAAACATCATTGAGGTGTACCTCTTGCTGGGAGATAAATGATCTAAGAATATTAATTAGATACCTAAGGCTCCTCACTGGTAGAATGAGCTCCCAGAGGAGATCAGGGCCCTGCGGGATCTTGTGTAGTTCCGCAGGGCCTTAAGACGGAGCTCTTCCACCAGGCTTTTAATTAGGAGCTGCCGCCACTACCACCACTAGCATCAGTACACACAATTAACATCTGTGGTGTAAGGCCAGCCTGACAGCATATTTACCATCTTGTGGAGTCCAGAGACTGAGATCCTTAGGTGCGCCTTTACATGGCACGCCATTGTGATTTAATACTGTGTGAGCACTTTAATTTTAAATTGTTTAATTATTTAACTGTTTCAACTGTTTAATTGTTCAGTTGTTTTTAACTGTTTATGATTCTGGCACACTATGCCAAACATTGTTAGCCGCCCTG